CACCGGAGTCTTGTATGCGATGGGCTTGTATTGTACAATACATACATACATAGAGCAGCATCGTAGCCGTTGTCGATGGTGGGTCTGTCATATTATATACATAGGAGTTTAGGAGTTAGATGTCTTTAAGACTAGCGTGTAAGAGGCAAAGCACTATGTGGTTGTGGCTAGGTAACTATGAAGTACAAGACTAATAGGCAATGCATACATAGATGTGTTGGTAGACAATGGCTGGTGGTGGTGGTGGCGGCGGCGGCGGCGGCCAGGTAAGCAACCAGGTCGTCATTCTTGTGTGTGTGTAGGTAATAGTGTACATAGTATTCCATAGGGGTTGGGAATCCAATCTTTCGAATGCCGCCAAGCTCACCAAGCCAGGACCAAATGAATCTGGGAATGTCACATGAACTTCCCTTACCTAAACGCCGATGGGACTTCTCCTTGCTCTCCCAATGCGACGTTCGGGAAACTAAGAATGCAACGCTGTGGCTTGGTCCCGGCGATCACTAGAAGGCCCACTTCTGCCTAGGTACTGCATGCTTATCACGGCGAGGGGAAATAGTTCCAGGTGGAAGGGAATTGAAGAGCTCCTATTGGCGCAGCAAACTCCGGTGAAAGGATTGGTGATGAGCAAACAACCCACCAAACCCACCATACACACCAGATAATTTCATGGCCTGGTCCTTGAATGAAATGATAAATAAGATCGGGACCTTTTTCTCCCTGCCGTCAGATGGATGCATTACAGGATCTGACTTTCTTCAACCCAGTACCCAGCTCGCGCTCCCTACAACTTGATAGATGTCGTCCTTCGCCTGGGGTTAGAGTCCCAAAGAAGAAGCGAGACTGGCCAACAATAGTATCCTCTACTCTCCCGTAGGCCGTCAAGGGTTCTCTCCCTTGCGGGTACTCCCCAGGATCCTCTCACCGGTAAAGGCATATCTAGCTACCTACATCTAAACATACTACGTATTATACATACAATACAATACATTTCGAGGTTTAAGGGGCTGACTCTGATGTTGTGTTCTCTCTAACCGAAGTATTCTTTGGTCACGGCGGAGATATGTTACCTGTCACATCCCACGAAATTGAGAGGTTCGAGGGTGAGATACAAGCATGTGTTGTCAACCTGCTCCGGGACCTGCAAATCACTGTCTATTATTTCCAAGGACTAAATGTAGTACGGAGACCACTTATTAGAGATGGGTGCAACCACACTTTATCACAGTTCCGCATATCGGGTTGTACGGCTCTATTTGGTAAAAGTTCAGGGTACCTATGTATTATTACATCCTAGGCCGCGCTGGAAAACATGGTCGCCGATGGTAAATATTTCCTTAGCTTCGTAGGTAACATGATGTAGCCTTTTATTTGATTCTAACAGGTCCTAAACCATGACGGGCCTTGATAATAACAACAAGAACAACAATAATAATAGTAATTACAATTACAATATCCTTCGCATTTGCTGCCTAGTGTATGGGTATGTAGCTACCCCTTAACTACACTAGCACACCGGCTACCAGGGGACAAGAGAGGAGGTAGGGGGTACTTGTCCAAACAATCTCTTTATCCCCCAGGGCAATATAATATTCCCAGTCCTCCCCTAGATCATCCCAGATCACGATCTTATGCATCGTGATAACTTTGTCCGGCTCTAGAACCCCAATCCCTTCTCCATCGAGTGCAACCACCCGACGTAATTATGTAAGATGCTGACAACACAGTTTCGCGCACAGTAGTTTCAGCCTCATTGCCCAAGTCTTTGCAGTTCGTCGCCTTCCAGCAGCAGAGAACTTCTGAATAATCCTCCAATGATCCTTTTTCCATTTCTTGTTCGTGCTCGATAGGCAATGGAGTATAGCTGCGGAAGTAGATAGGGTAATGTAGATAGCCTAGCTGCCTAGCAGTCTGGGTAGTATAGGAAGAGGTAATTCTCCTATGCGAAGCCTCGTCAGTGCATCACGGCTAGTCCCGCCTAGATGCCGGGATGTCCACGTAGCATAGTACGTACGAGAGTGTAAGATACAGACACAAGACGTCTTCATCACTTTCATGAGACAACTGCATTTTCCTTAACCCAAAAATATCATTATCGCTGGCCTTGCTGCTAGTTTGTGGATTGCTCTGCATGCTACGCGACCTAAGGGAGCCTTCCTTCCTGTGCCTTCTGTTTTGAAGTGAGCACGTAAGCAAGGGAGAGACGGCAAGATGCAGCCAACCGAAGGCCCCCGAGACAATCAGCCCACGAACACCGAACCACTCATATGCGATGATACACTTTTTGATATCCAACAACAAGGACCTACACGCCCGGTTTGAGTAGTCGTGATCACAAAAGCCCAATGCTGATTGCACTCTTTTCCGTATTCACAATACCTACCTCGACCGTCGTCTACTGCGTCGTGGCGTCGATGAGGCAAGCTAACCGTTACCCTTAAGTGAGATGTCAATCCATAGGAAAGGTGAGAAAACAGATGATGAAGAAAGAAAAAGACCTGTCGTTTCATTTAACTTTTTTCGGCCTGAGCAACTCGACCCGATCTCTCATTTCTCCATGCAATCTTGCAGGAAGGAGGCGCCTTTTCTGATCTGATTTCCCACCCCCTCTTACTAGGTAGTCTCTAATTTTCGCCGAGTCTCGCAGGCCAATCCCAGCCCTCCACATGCCACCACCGTAAGCGGATGATGTGTGCCCTTCGGGTGGTCGCATGGCCTAATGCTCGATCACGAATCATCCATCTACTTTTCCTTGTAGTGGTAGGAAAGCTTCCTCGACCACTACACGGGCATATATAATATATAATGACGCAGTGCCCCCTTCGCATACTCTTACGCTGACTGCCGTGATCATCTATCTCATCCATCCTTCGGCGTGTATGTCTAATGTGGCAATACTGACGCCGTAGACCGTACGGGATTGTTCTGGATTCCTCGGATATCTTATCCTATTTTCTAGAGTTGTCCTTTTGCATGTGCTGGTAAGCCGACTTGTCATTGGCGATCTCTCAAGGGTCTTCTTGACCGGTCTTAATCCAAGGACGCCACTTTTGTAGTTGATATATGACAGGTCTCCTGGTTTGCCTCGGCTGGATAAGGCTGCGCATTTTCGAAGGCGCATGGGGCCTCACTTTTCTATCATAGAGAGTAATCAGTTCAGTCAGCTGGAAACAACGTGCGAGACTGCCATTCATGACGTAGCATCAGGAGCATATTTTCCATGCGAGTGTCAGCTTCCACGCGCAATATTGAAGGCATAATATACCTACCTAACAGCCTAGCTACCACATCTTCTCATTGCTCGGTACTCGTAGGTGACATCATGCAAGATATAGGTTCCCTTGGCATATCTTAGATTCGGCACTTGAATGTTGCCTCGCTGGAACCTTGCCAGACCGAGAAGTAGGATATCGTATGCCCTGCTGATCACGGCGCTTTAGATTGATTGCGGCCCTGTAACGTCTTGTGCGACGCCGTAGCGATGGTGGCTGCAGCTCTAGTCGAGTCTGACTCAACCGCTACGTCGTCCGTTCTCGTTGCGTAACCTAGATGGTATCCCCGGGTTTTTCTAGCGTAATGTCGATACATGGGAGGGCTGCCAGAAATATAGCGAAGAGAGGCAAGGGATCGACCTGTAGAAGCTCTGTTATGTACTAACGAGGATTATACCGCTCTGCCGGTATGGCAACTGTGCTAGCTGTTCCATAAAGCGTTACTCCCTAAGCTACCAGCTGCCTAGTACCGACCACTAATTAAAGCTTAGCATCTGAGGTGGAAAATGACATTTCAGATGATTGGGCATCGTTCTTGATATCTCTTTGCTAGTCACACACCTGTGTATGTATGACATTCTAGGCTGAGTCACTTCCAGATTCTAGCCACTGGAGGAACACTGCTAGGGGAGCAACAACTCGGGTACATAGCTACCTAGATATGCATTTTCCAAATATTGTGACCCTCCAGTACAGCCTCTACAGATGTATTAAGAGCGAATTTCCATCTGGTTATCAAGATATCGTACAGTCGTAGTTTTCAAAGCCCCTGGTGAAGCCACTCGCCGGCCAAAGGGGCTAGAGACGACTGGTTCGAGTTGAAAGGATGAAAAGCATTCAATCCTCTACCAAATGCACCATGCTAGTATCAAAGGAGAAGTAGCATTCTTCCATTTCAAATGCTATTCCGAGGATTCCTACAGCGAGGATATTGCTCTGAATAACCCAAGTTGGGGACTCATCTTATGTACCATGATCACTGGACTAACATCAATAACGACATATCCGTTTATCCATTTGCTTGTTTCAATGAACACTTTAATTTGGTTGCATGAAAAGGGAAACATGGTCGCCAAGAGCATTATAAACTTTTGAGGCTGTCACATGTGTTGAGACTACACCATCACCAACAGACGTGAACTCCCTTACTTCTATCAACAACATAAAAGAAGTGTAATACTGAGATAAAAACAGACTGACAAGGCTCGTGGATATTTTTAGTTATTATAAGTAATTTATTGATATTGTTTTTCATATAACATCAAAGGACTTTCGGAGAATCAGTTGCCCTGCGCATTTTAAAGGGGGGCACTGAAGCGTAGGGTTTACAGCTCCCTATCAAGGTAGCCAGTCTTACGCAGTTCCGGTACTCTAACGCCATTGACAATTAAAGGAGAAATACCTTATGCACATTCAAGGAAATATACCCGCATAGGTATTTCTTTGATGATATGTACTGATCAGGATGTCGTGGACGTCTAGTCTAAACTGCTAAGAATCACCAAATCGCTACTACTAATAGCATCGAAATTATTCGTTGCCCATTACACATAAGAGACTGCAATTACCTAACCAGCGGTGCCCAAGTTAAGATGCATCAGCTAGCATGAAGCCCGCTTGCCCTAAGAGAACAGAGGTTCTATCACGTCGCCGATGTTGAGACCGAAATACAAGACATGCCCCTACCTATACTCTGCAAAAAGATAAAAAAAACTAAAAATAAATCGTCTCCCCCGGGAAGGCTTGAACTTCCAACCTCCTGATTAACAGTCACTGGCAAACAAATATTAGTAAACGAAAACATTGACGATAGGTCAAACTGGGTAAAGACTCACGACGCGCTAGCCAATTGCGCCACAGAGGACAGTCTGCGTCCACGATCTGGCCAAGCCAGTTGTGTGGACGGATCCGAGCTGGGCTCATAAAATATTCCTAGGGCTAAGTAGACCTATCAAGCTAAAGATCTAGCCCTGCGTCCTTTGGACGCATATGTATAATACACTAAAATCGGGGGACCCGCTAGTCCACTCTTCTAGGGGTTCCGTCGTGGAGCTCTTGAAGGACAATGGCCGATGGTGATGATAGGAATATCAATGAAGACATTAGACGTAGAAGTGTCGACAGCGCATATTCTGGTCATCATTCAGAATTTACAGTATAAGGTGGAAAGCGTATATACTACACCCAACCCATTGATACGCGATCTCTAAAAATACTGAGAGGGATAGGTAGGTTAAGAAACCCGAACAGTGCTTCTTCGAGCTTCGAAATATTAATAGAAGACCTAGGAAGTCGATGAGAAACAATGGGACGAAAGGTAAACCAACTGCCTGGTGTTCTATATTGGGAGCTGCCTCTCCCCCCCTCGCATGTACGGCTCTACCTTCTAATGAAACATTGGCACAACCGCCCCCATGGATATACAATTCCATAATATTTTAAAACCGACCGTGCTTCTGTCCATCCTCACATGCTCTTCACTCGCCCTCTAGCATATATGCCTAGCCGTCTAGTCCATGACCGCACGACATGGTCCCTCCGTCAGCCTGCTCCGTGGTAATCACACCACCGACGTGCGCCGCACGTGTGATCCCCTTCCTCATGCTGCTCGTGCTGCTCCTCTTCCTCTTCCACGGCATCCTCGCCGTCCTGTTCATCGCCTCTATCAGCCCCACCGGCGCCACTTCATGCCCGCCTCTCCGCCCTCCGGCGCCGGCGGGCCGGGCAGTATCTCGCGGAGCAGGTGATTGATGTTCTTGCCCACGGTGCGCACGTCCTCCCACTGGCGCGGGTAGCCCAGGCTGCACTCCTCGAAGCGGACGCCGGCCTTCCAGTCCGTGCGCGGCACGTGCAGGTGTCCGGAGACGACGACCTTGGCGCCGAACCGCGTGTGCCAGTCCTGCGTCAGCTTGGTGCCGCACCACAGGCTGAAGCGCGGCACCTTCGGGATGAAGACGAGGTCCTCCCTCAGGGGCCAGTGGTTCGCGATCACGACGGCGGCGCCGGGGTGCCGGGCCCGCGCCTCCTCCATCTTGCTCTCGAACTTGGCCACGAGCACCCGGCACCACTCGTCGCGCGAAGGGTGCGGGTCCGGGTGCAGCAGGAACTCGTCCGTGGCCACGGTGTCCAGCTCCTCGGCCCACTTCAGCGCGCCCTCGCGGCTGACGCCGTCGGGCCGGAAGCTGTAGTCGTACAGCGTGAACGTCGGGGCCACGATGGCCGGCCCGCCCTCGCCCTCCCACAGCACGAACTCGTCCTCCGGCGTGTGCACGCCGTGGCCCCGCGCGATCTCCACGCACCGCTGGTACTTGGCCTCGCCTTTCAGGTGCGGCCGCGGCGCCGACCCCATCGTGTACAGCTCGTGGTTGCCCGGGCACCACCACACCTCCCCGAAGTTGCGCTTCCCCGCCGCGAACGCGAGCTCTAGGTGCTCTGCTGACTCCCCCACGTCGCCGCACAGGATCAGCCCGTCATCCGGGTGCGGTGAAAGCTCTTCCAGCGCCTTTCTGTTGTACTCGTAGCTGAGGTGGAGATCTCCGATTGCGTAGAGCTTCATGGTGGCAGGGCCCGAATGGGGGTTGTCTTTGGTTGGAGAAGATATGGCGTAATGAAAGAATGAGATTCGAGATTGAGGATTGGTGACTAGATCCAATCAAGCATGCGCGTTAGGCGCATCATTATGTCCGAAGAGCCAATGATGTATTGCTTACATTTGTGCAGCAAGTAAGTCGAAGGATCCTGAAATTGTTTAAGAAAAGCACTTATTCAATGATCTTATTTGTGCATATCATTATTAATTGCACACAATTTGCTATTATCCACGAAGAATAAGCTCTTTTTACTTCATATCCTATCATACTTGCATAAAAATCATCATTTAACCACTGATGTCGGGAAACGAGGGTATTCCTACAGGATTAATAGCGCAAAGCGAGCAAACTTCTGATGAATTCTCACGAATCTTACTTCACCAATAACACTCAAGGTTGATTATCCATTCTGATTATATGAATATAGGGAATTTGATGATTCTCTGCTTCCTCTTCGGAACAATGAATGCCTTTCTTCCTTACATTGTTCTTCAGTCTTGCTTCACTGTCTTCGAATCCTTGCGACCAGATTTACCACCCAAGTCGACGTCTTCGAATCCCACGTTTGCAGGCTTAACTCTGCTCTCTTGCATGTGAGCGCCGTGTTCTCGTGAAAATCTCTCAGATTCCAAATCGGCCGGCTTGACCTTTCCAGTCATATGCGCGCCATGTTGTTCTCTATGCACCGAGCCATCTGGGTCGGCAGGTTTAATCTTTGCTTCTGCATGAGAGGCATGTTCACCCCGAGAAGCATCCATGTCGATCACATAATCCCCTGGGTCAGCCTTGCCGCCTTGTTGGCCTCGTTTCTTAAAGCCACCGTAAGGTTGAACCTTGGAAGTCATATGAGATGAGTGTTCCTGTACGTGACCCCAGCTATAGTCGTCGTCCGATCCGCCGTCTGTGGATGAGATCTCCGCTTCCTCTGGCACAGTCTGGCCCATGACGCATTCACGTTCACGATAGACCTCGCGAGGTAATTCGGTATGATGATGCGCAAGTCCAGCTCCCGGTGGGCCTAATGGCCCAAGATCTTCGAGTTCGACTCGTAGCGTGTCATTTTGGTCACTATCGTGGCTACGCTTGCTTCTCAAACTCCTTTTACTTACCTTGCGGACAATCTCCCCAAACCTCTCTACACTCTGATTGCCTCGACGTCCAATCTCGTCGCGAGCTAGGTCAACTACCTGCCGGTTGAGGTGTACACCTTGGTCAATCAGACGGTTTTTCCTGCGGATCTCACTCCATCGCGTCAAAGAACCCAGCTCAAGGATATTCATGCGACGGAATTTCTCTGACGGATTACCTAGAATGACGGGCCTCTAGCCTACGTCTTCCTCGGGAATTTCAGAAATATCGTTGAGACCATTGGCTTTCGCGGTGGCGATTGCAGAGGCGCGACGGCGGAGGCTGTCTCGTCGCTCGTTCGTCCACTTGTCCATCTCAAAGGTTTTCGAGTTGGGGATAATTTGGACATGTCGAAACCGAGCGAATACGCCCAGGAGTAGGAGAGAGTGTAGGAACAACCTAGATGCTACGACTCCTGTTGCAGCTCTTTGTCCTAGAGCCCGTGTAGCTATGCCCCCGACGCTAGTCGCCCCCGCAGCGAAAATGAAACCCATGCTGTGAATAGTGTTGAACCCAGCAGTCACTCGAGGGAAGGACGAGTAATTGGTCCGTTTCATGCCTTCTTTTCCTGACTTGGAACGACGACCAGTCATGCCTGGTTGGAGATCAGAGCAGTCCTATGCTTCCATCAGCATGCCATTGCATTTAGCTATGGCAAGACATGACAAGAATCCAATCATCGCGGCAAAAATGCAAGGAAAGACGATATGGACGGGAGGCCCCGAGGAGACAATAGTATACAGGATGCCGGCAATCGGAAGCACAATGACAAAGATGGCTCGTCTAATAAGGTGGGATGTCCATGTCAACCTTTTGTCGAAGGTCATACTGTTTGTCAGAGGACCTGTAGAGCGTGCTCGAGAAAAGAGATTCGCCATTTGGAACGGCACCGCTAGAAGTGCACCGATGGCGACAGACGATACCGCGGCGGCCACGAATGGTGACCGGAAACGGTAGTATCTAGAAGTTAAAGATCCCAAAAGCTATGGGTGTTAGAAAAGGACGTAGTTTTGCGAGGTGGGAATTCAACTTACAACGATGATCAAAACGACTTGAGCATATATCCACGCAGAGTACAGAGCCATAATAACGAAGCCGGGCTGGCGAAGCATTTCAAATGAAAGGGCAACTCCGTGATACATTTCCTGACCCCACCATTTTGGGCCATCCTTGACTCGATGCATCATGATCTCACCACGAGCTACTCTTCGGGACACTCCTGAACCAGTCCTGACCTCGGCTACAGAACGTCTCCAGGCCGATCGTCGAACCTCGGGACAGAGGACGTTAAGAAGAAGGACGACTGCAATTAGCATGATGCTGATATAAAGCCCCCATGATGGTTGGAGGCTGTCAATGACTACAGCGCCAATTACAAACCCGATGCCTAACGAGCCGATGAAGCACCATGTCCAGATGCCGAGCCAGACACCAAGCCCGCCCCCGTGCCTTCTTACGTCATAATGGTCAACAACCTCCTGGTGCGGATTGCTGCTCATCAAAGATGCGCCGAAGAGGTCGGTCAGTATTGAATGGAAATTCATATTGGCGAAACCCAAAGCACAGCCCATGATGGCCCTGGGAAGAAGTAGTGCCCATCTCCAAACACTGGTGTACGGAGACCTGGGCACACTAACGGCAATGGCTTGGGGAAAGAGGAGTGGCATGGCTATGCATAGACTGCACACGATATACGGCTTGCGACCGTGTAGCAATGGCAGCGGCCAACCTAGGAAGGTCGAAACAGCCATTCCAAGGAACATGCCCACATTGCCGAGGATCGAATAATGGTTGAAGTCTGCAATATAGTATTGAATCGACGGGACCAGGCCGGCATAGATTCCAACCAGGACACCAACCAAGGCGGTACTGATGCACGCAACGGAAGCTACAAACCTCTTGCGGATGGGAGACCAATCGCGGGCGATTGTAGGCTGTCGTTTTACGGATTTCGTAAGGCTAAACCGTTGCCCATCTCTGATGCTCACGTGGGATCTCCTTCGAAGACTGATATTGCGTAATTCGTGAGATCGCTTGGCTGGCGCTTTTCTCTGAGCCGCTCTAGATTTCGTAATTGAGGCATCTTGGTTGCGCATACGTCTGGACCCTCCGAATCTCGAAACTTCCGTGCCTTGTACTTCACCAG